CACCCCGGAGAAGCTGCAGCTGGTCTGCAATGCCCTCCTGCAGAAGGTGAGACCCCCCCCGGCTCCCCCAGCACCCCCCCAGCCCGCCCCCCGCTCCCCCTCCTGCCTTTTCTCCCCCAGGATGAGCCGGTGCCTCTGGCCTTCTTCGTCCACGATGCCGAGATCGTGGCGTCGCTGGAGAAGACCCTGGCGGGGCAGACGGTGGAGACGGAGAAGGTCCTGGACATCATCTACCAGCCGCAGGCGGTGTTCAGGGTGCGGGCGGTGACCCGCTGCACCAGCTCCCTGGAGGGGCACACCGAGGCCGTCATCTCCGTGGCCTTCAGCCCCACGGGAAAGTACGAGGGTCTGGCTGCGGGTGGGGGGCTCGGCCGCTGTCCCCCTTCCGAGGGCATCGCGCTGAGCCCGGCTCTTCCTCCTCTCCCAGGTACCTGGCGAGCGGCTCTGGAGACACCACCGTCCGCTTCTGGGACCTCAGCACAGAGACGCCGCAGTTCACGGCCAAAGGTGGGTGCGGGGGTGTCCCGGGAGGGCAGCTCCTGAGCCCCCTCCCTCAGGGACCCCCTGCCTGCTCGGGGGGACAAACAGAGCAGAGCTCGGGCTCTGCCGGAGCTGCACAGGACGGGGCCGTGGCTCAGGGAGGGAGTAGCTCTCTTTCACCAAAGAAGCGGAGGAAGAGGGTCTGGGCAGGAGGAACATGGAGGGTTCTCCCACCTCCAGCCCTGCCTCGGAGCGGCTGCGTGCAGGGACACCGGGGACAGTCACAGCTCCCCACTCACGCCTGCTCGTGCTCTCTCTGCCAGGTCACCGGCACTGGGTGCTCAGCATCGCCTGGTCGCCCGACGGCAAGAAGTTGGCCTCGGGCTGCAAGAACAGCCAGGTACGCGTTGGCTCCCTGCTTCCTTGGCGCAGGGCCAGGAGCCCCAACAGCCGCGCCGGTGGGTCTGTGGGAGCGCGGAGACCGTCTGCGGCCCTGTTCTGAACTGAAATGAAACCTGGTCAAGGGGCTGTGGGGGATTAGGAACAAAGACTTGTTTTTTTCTGGGGCGTGAAGGCTGTATCCAGTTGTTCTGAGCAGGGTTCCCGTTCCCTAGAGGCACTTTGCATGTGCATGCATCACGGCAGTTGTGAGTAGCGTCTCTGAACTCTGCTGGGCAGCGCTCTGGCTTTGTTGCCTTTGTAGACCTCTTGCCGCTGAGCCCTGCTGTCTTGTGGCAGATGCTTTTCCCTCAGCGCAGGAAAGAGTCCAGGCTTTGGACGTGGTCCTTGGCAGACGGCTCCATCACAAGGGAGGTGTCTGGAGTGAGAAGGGGTATCGCCTGGCTAAGCCAGGGCTGCTCTTTGCATGACCCAGACATGCAGTGGCAGCCTGTTCGCAGCGCTCCCGCTCAGACACAGCCAAATTCCCTCTTACAGGAATGTGAAGGGGGCCCTGCCCCAGCTGTGGGGCAAAATGTGTGCACTTAAGGTGCATGCAGAAATGCCTGGGGAAGCAGGAGCACTCGTGGGCAATTAAAAGCGAGTCAGCAGCTTGCTGAGCTGCAGAGGGGCAGCGGCTCGCTCTGACCTTCGAACGGTCTGGGAGCAACAAGAGTGGCCACGGAGCTGCCAAGTGCTGCCGTCTCGCGCTCGGTTTCTGAGCGGCCACTCCGTCAGGCCACTGTGATACCAACCCCAAGGAAACAGGCCAGGCCAGAGTGGCTCTGCCCTGGTTTGGTGCTGTTCTGGCTTTAATCTAACCCAGGGAGCCATTTGTCCTCCGTTTCTCTGTTTCTCCCAGGTTCTTAAGTAGGGGATGACTAATGCCTTGGCTCTTTGGATGAACATTTATGTAGAGAGAAAAAAACAAGAGAAAACCAGCATGTGTCTCACCCACAGAATCCGATAATAAGTAGCATTTAGCGCGCTCTGGCTTTCATCGCGCTCTGCAAACATTCACTAACTCGCTGGCACAGAATGTCAAAGGCTCGGGCTGGCTTTTTGGGGACCTGGATCAGTTTTGAGTTGAGGCAGATATTTTTGTAGCAGCAGCGTTTTAGGCGGAGAGGAGGGCGATCAGGTCTCATTCTCTGAGGTGTCAGCTGATTGCTGCAGCGATCTGGAAAGGCATCCAGCCCTCCTGCCCCCCTCCCTTTCTGCTCCTTGCCTCTGCCAATGTAAACGCAATCCCAAGGACACCTATCCTTTCTAAATGGAGCCCAGACGTCCCTGGGATTCACATGATGTGTGTGGCCTGACGCGACCTTCTTGCTTCCTCTCTTGGACAGATATTTCTCTGGGACCCAGCCACTGGCAATCAGATCGGCCGGGTGCTCACCGGCCACTCCAAATGGATCACGTGTCTGTGCTGGGAACCGCTCCACATGTAAGTGAAGGGCCAGCCCAGCCCTTCCCCTTTACTCATAGGGAAAAGAGCAGCCTGACCTGAAGAGCACCGCTCCCGTTTGCTGTTCTCCTGGTACGGTGTGCAGAGGGGGTGCGTGCAGGAGAACAGCCCCCCAGGGTAGGCTGGGAAAAATGCATCTAGCTCAGAGCCAGGAGTCCCAGCCACTGCTCACAGTCCCTGTAAGGGTGCTGGGGAAGTCACTGCCAGGCTGTGCCTCTGTTTTCCCCTGTATAAAAGAGACACTTGCCTATGAAAAACGCTTGATGTTTTCATGGTGCTGGACAAACATTTGATATGCTCCTCCCCAGCGTGCTGAGCTGGGAGCAGGAAAGCCTGCCCACGTGGTGCCTGAGCTCAGGCTCTGCAGAGCACTCTGTTTCTGCTCTCCTGCATCCCAGTTGCCTCTGTCGTCCAACTTATTTATCATGAGGGCTGATGAACTGTGCAGTCCCCTTATCCCTCCGATCAGCTAAAGCTCTGTCTGGGAAAGATGGGTAGAGAGGGACAGTTGTGGCCAATAATCCAAGACATGATAGAAATAAATAACAAGAAACAGGGCCCCTTCAGAGCAGAGCCCTGCAAATTGAATTTGCCAGTAGGAAACTCCAGCTATTTGCAAACAATTATAACTGGATTAGCAAAAACTGATTATAAAGGAGAATGAGGAAATGGAGAGGAGGGAGGCGATCCTGCCAGGCTCCACTTCTCTGTCTTCAGCCAGCTGCGCTCCCTGCTCTGTTCTTGCACAACAGGAGAGGCCATGCTCTTCCTCACTGCTGCTGGTGCCAGGGACCGCTGTCTTTGATGTTAAAACCGTGTTGAGTGATGTTGTGCAAAGGACAGAGGGCTGTGGCTCCCCTGTCCTTGCTGGGTTGTGGCCAGCTGCTTCCAGATGTGTAAATTTGCCCCCTTGAGCCACATGGATGGATGTTGCTGCTTTCAGCCCTGCCAGCACAGTGGCACTCTGCGTCCGCAGGCCGGCACATTTCCTGCGCGGTGCGAAGCATGGCATAGGCAGGGGAGTGTTCACCGCATGCTGCCAGTCTGTGCTGCCTGCGTAAGGCAGGCTGATCCCCCTGCCCAGGGCTCTCCCCAGCCAGTGCCTGGGGAAGGTGCCAGTTTGTGGTCCCCTCGTTAGCCAGCGGGTTAAAGCTGCCTCCTGTGAAAACAAGGTCATTGCCAAGGGCTCAGGTGCCAGGTTTACCCTGGATTGATGCCTCCAGCGTGCAGCCCAGGAGTTGGTTTGGAGAGAAGCATCTGTCTGCCTTTCCCCCGACTTGTGGGATCTTGTTCTCTGTAGGTCAGCACTCTGCTTCTGCACGGCCTCTCTCTGATCTTAAGCCAAAAGAGAAAGTTGTCTTTTATTGACTTCTGGACCCTTGAATCCTCTGGGGCTGATAGGGGGAAAGCTTGGTGGAGGACCTGTGTGCGGTGTGCAAATGGATTTGATCTTCTTTTTGCCCAGAAACCCGGAATGCCGCTACCTGGCAAGTGCCTCCAAGGATGGCAGCATCCGCATCTGGGACACGCTGATGGGCAGGTGTGACAAAATCCTGACGAGCCACACGCAGTCGGTGACGTGTGTGAAGTGGGGGGGCGATGGTTTGCTCTACTCCTCCTCCCAGGACAGGACCATCAAAGTCTGGAGGAGCCAGGACGTAAGTGAGGCAGGCAGCCCTGGGGCTGCTGGCGAAGGGGGCTGGACACGCTGTGTTGTAGCTTTGTCTGCTCTTCCTGGCACAGCTTGCGCCCTGGAAAAAAAAAAGGGAGGTGCAGAGTGGGTCCTGTGTCCTCTTGACCTGTCAGAGCCTGTTGCTTGACACCATTTGGAAGGAGTAGCTGTTGTGCAATGTTTTCATCCCTAAAAATGTAAAATGGGGCTAAAAGCTGGAAACAGCCCTGGAGTGACCTGTGCTGGTGGGTTCCTTGAAAGGCCCTGCAGGAAACTGGTTCCTGAAGCTCAACAGTGTTGTTTCTTCCTTGCTAAGCCTGGCTACAGTCCTGCCTGCAGCTTGGTCAAGAGGGTTTGGAAAGTTTAGGGTTGGTCCTCGCAGCCCAATTGGTCTGGAAGGTCCTGCTCTGTCCTGCCCATCCCTCTCTAAGCGGGTGGTTTTGTTTCCAGGGGGTCCTCTGCCGCACCTTGCAGGGCCATGCTCACTGGGTGAACACCATGGCCCTTAGCACCGACTATGTTCTCCGCACCGGTGCCTTCGAACCTGCTGAAGCCACTATCAACCCACAGGATGTAAGCGGCTCCTGTAAGTGCAGCACCCGTGTTGTAGGCTGGGGGAGGTGGTGGGGAGGCGATAGCGAGGAGACCTGATGTCTCTTCTTCATGCTGCCATGAGCCAAAGCAATCTTGAGAGCACCGGTCCTGTGCCGGTGTCGGTCGTGCTGGCAGCCATGATCTTCCTTGCCCATGCACACGGTCAAGCAGTCTGGGGGATGGGAAAGGCCACTCTGTTTTCAAGGGCTTTTGCTCCCGGTATTGCCCTCGGCAAAGAGAGAGGGGTGAGCAGTCACAAATCCATGCTTGGCCCATGGATTGGAATTGACATTGCAGGGTTATAAAGTTTCCTTTCACCTAAGGATTGGAAATCTCTCTCTCTTCCCCCCGTTCAGTGGCAGAGCTGAAGGACAAGGCACAGCAGAGGTATGACCAAGTCAGGGTAAGTCCCTTATGTCCCTACTGTCATTTCTAACACTGTTACTGGTGGAAGCAGTGAACGTGCACAGTTGGCTGTTGAGCCCAACACTGGTGTGCTTCCGAGCTCTGCACACCTGGCTTCTACAAGACTTGGGCTCTTTCATCCCTTTCTCAGGGCCAGGAACCAGAAAGACTCGTCTCGGGGTCAGATGATTTCACACTGTTTCTTTGGAGACCAGCAGAAGACAAGAAGCCACTGGAGAGAATGACGGGCCACCAGGCATTGATTAACCAAGTCCTCTTCTCGCCAGATACCCGGATAATAGCCAGTGCTTCCTTTGACAAGTCCATAAAGCTCTGGGACGGTAGGACAGGAAAGTGAGTTGGTTTGTTCTGTTGCAGAGGTGGTGCTCGTGTGGAGTCTGCGTGTAATGCACAGGTTACGCAGAGGTGGGCCCCAGTGTCATTGCCAGCAACTCCCTGGTCTGTGCAGCATCTCTGCAGCCTGAACTCGTGCAAAGTACTTCTGCTGCCTCTGTCTGTCTCTGCCCTGGGAAGTCCCTTGTCCAGCTCTTCTTGTGTTATGGGGTCTGTGCTTGGCCGGGTGTGTGCAACCCTGCTGTCACCCAGCCACAGCAGTGCTCGGCACCTGTGCGGCACATGCTGCCTGCTGCAGGGTCGGTTCTCTGGGGTCGGCGCAGCTGCCGTGGGATGGGATGTTCCACTCGGCTGATCTCCTGAAGACATGGGCGTTGCACACTGTAGACTGACCCAGTTCAAACAGTTTGTGTGCCAGAGAACAGCTTGTTCTGGACGATGCAGATTGTTGTAGTTGCAGGTGGTGCTGTTGGTGTTTGGATGCTCTTGTAGTCCAGCTTTTAACCTTCTGCAAGAGTATTGGTGAGCTCTCAGGGGCAGCAGTCCTTCCTTTGTTCTGCCTTTATACTGATGAGCTTGGGTTTCATGTCAGTAATTTTAACAGTCCTCCTAAATCCAGGCTGCTCAGCCAGAGAGGAAGGGCACATCTGTACAGTAAGGCTATAGTGGTGCCTGCTGGTTAAGGGTTTCTTGGCAGGGGAGCTGAGATGAAGAGCCGTCCTCTAGAAGGTTCTGAGCCCATCTGGGAGGGTTTTTAGACAGACTGAACCACCTATGGACTCTATATAGTAATTGACTGCCTTGTGTGTGCTGGCTTGCTCACAGGTAGAGAAGAAACATGAAGACTGGGTAAGGGCGGGTTTGGAACAAACCCAGCTGCCTGCTCCTCTAACAGCTTCTTCATGCCTCCTCCACACCAGGTACCTGACATCACTGAGGGGGCACGTCTCGGCTGTGTATCAGATCGCCTGGTCAGCCGACAGCCGCTTGCTGGTGAGTGGGAGCAGTGACAGCACGCTGAAGGTCTGGGATGCCAAGATGAAGAAACTGGCCATCGATCTTCCTGGCCATGCGGACGAGGTGAGGTGTTTGGTCAAGCTGAGGTGTTTGAGAGAGGCAGGAATGACTCCTTCTCCCATGACAGCAGAAATAACGGGGGCTTTCCCTAATACTAGGTGTATGCAACGGATTGGAGCCCAGACGGACAGAGGGTAGCAAGTGGAGGGAAGGATAAGTGTTTGCGGATGTAAGTGACCTGTTGTGTGTCCATAGAGGTTGTCATAGCCATTCCATGTGTTCTTCAGAGCTGCAGTCTCCTTGCAGAGACCTGCACAGTTAGGGCATGATCTCTGCTTGCAGAGAGCACGGCACTGGGCCAAATTCCAGCCCAGAGACCTGACCTTCCTCAGGGCAGGAACCGTTGCTGTCCCCTGGGAGATGACTAGAAAGCAGAGTCCCTCCAACTGAGCAGTCAGTGCTGAAATTTGACTCGGATGTTTTGGCTCCTGGAGAGGGGAAAGAACAATTGCACCAGTCAGTCAGACCCTTCCTTTCTTACCTTCCTCCATCTCCCAGTTATGCAGACAGAGAAATTCCTGTGAGCTGGTTGCCATTTGACCACGGCTGATGAAGGAACTTGGTCCTGAGGCCTCCACTATGCTGCTCTTGTATGGTACCTGCTGGGCCATGTGGCAGCGCTGGTGCCGGACCACAGGGATGCAGCAGCTCTTTCCGTTTGCAGATGGCGTCGATAGGAGCAGCAACACGAAGCCGCCGATCCCGTCCTAAGCTGGCCTGCCCTCGGTGTAATCTGCCTGGGAGATCTGCGAGGTTATGGACAATGGAGGCTGACCTGAACATGACTCGCTGTTCCTGTTGGCTGCTCTCCCTCATGAACTGTTTCCTTATATTTATTTAAGGAAATTTTAATTCCAGTTCTTATTAAGAGCTGTACTTTGCAGGATGATTTCCTCTGAACATTACAGGAGGGATATCTCATCCGCCTCCATCTCAACTGGCTTTTTTTTTTTCAAATTTCAGCCTTGTAGTAGCCTGCCCCCTTGAAGGGGACAAGCGAAGGGTGGGGACAGCTCATGCCCTTTCTTGCCGTGTGAAGTATCCTGCAGGGAAGAAGCTTTTAGTGGGAACAGAAAGAGTTGTCCTTGTGTGACCTTCAGAGAGGAAGGGGAAAATTCAGCACATCATTACATTGCAGAATTGTGCTCGGCTGCATGCCTGGAACAAAGATCTGCTGAGAATAAGGTCTTGGGGCTTGTCGTTATTCTAGTAAGGTTTTGCCTTTCCACTCAGCCCATTTCCCTGTGGGCTCTGCTGAGCATTATCTGGTAGTGATCCTCCACATCCACAGCAGATAACTCCTTCACTCATCCATTCAGGGTGCAACAGGCATGGACTTCAAACGATTGCTAGAGCTGTGCTGAGTTTTCAGGCCTCGATGGCTCTTGGAAATGTGGAAATGAGGCCTCTGAACAGGGAAGAGAGCACCCGTTTCCCACCCACTGCCAGCTTTGGGGGGAGGAAGGAAGGGGAAGAATGGAGCCGGCATTTTGGGTGGTGTTTGTCCCTTGCCCTGGATACCTGCTGACAGCGGGGCTGGGACTGTCACAGTAAATGGCAAAACTTCCATTGCACAGAGTTGGCTCCTTCTGGAATTTCTCAAGTGCATTTACTTGCCCAGTGGGTGAGAGGGATTCACACTGAGTCAGATATTTGTAAACTTGCTTATGAGCCGTTTTATAAGTCAGTTCAGGCTTCCAACAATCATGAGGCAAATAGACCTGGATTTAGTGTTTATTTCTAGGATGGTTACACAACAGTGAAAATCAAGATGTGATTAATAAGGAATAGAGATTATATTGTCAGATTTAGTTGCAGCAAGCCAGTGTGAAGGCCAAAACATTTTCTATAGCCCTCATACTGCAGTTGCTACACAATGATTACTACAACTCAGAACAGGAGTTTGGGTCTCAGATGCTTCCCAGCTGCAGAAGCTGCATTTTAGGACTTCATTCCTTCTGGCAGGATTGCTTTGGAGAATTAAGAGGGGATGGTGCAGTAATGGCCATTTGCTTGTCTGCAAGTGTTCAGGGGAGCAAAAGACTGGAACAAAGGGTTAAATCTTTAATATGACTGAGAACAAATTGTGGTTCCTGTTGTGAGTATCTCTTTCTGCCAGCCAAGTCAGCAGGCTCTATCTTCATGGGATCTTTTGGGAAGAACTCAATATCCTGTACCTGCTCTTTCATTAACGTGCTTCCTCCAGCTGGTTCTTGCTGCCGGTGAAGGCCATGTTGTGTCCATCTGCATAAACAAAACCTTTTGTAATTCACTAAGGTAAATGTGGGCCAGGGTGATTTAAAAGTGTAGCTGATAATTCTGCCTCTCCAGACTGCCATGCCCTTGGGAAGGAGAGGAGTACATGTGCAGCTGACGGATCTCTGGTAACAGCCAAGAAGCCTGCCCATTTTGCAGGTTTTTTGGGCTGCCTGTGCTAAAGGAAACAGTCCGCCCTCGGGAGTTCAGCTCTCTCTGTGTCCCCGGGTTCGACTCGCCAAAAGCGGCAGCTTCTGCAGCTCCTGGTATTACGTGGCTCTTTCTGAGGGAAGAAGCATCATTCTCTGCTTCCTCTCCCAAAGTGCTGCACAGGGTCTCTGTGCCCTGTTAATCCACGGTGCATTTTGTGTTAGAAGTGGGGATGTATCAGAGCCAGGGGAAGCAATCCTCCCTGCGGGGACCGACTTGGCCATGCGTGTGTGTACGTGTACCTAAAGGCCACTTCCTTGTCCACTGATTTCCAAACCAAAGCAATCGCCGTGCTTTCTGGCTGTGCTCCTAACCTAGGCTAGCTCCTGCCACCCCTTCAGACTCTGCTTCTGTAATATTAAGCACTGAACAGAGCCTGATTAAAACCCACCTTCCTAATGCTGGAGCAGAAAGCTTTTCCAAAGCAAAGTGAGACCTCCTGAAGAAAGAGAGGGCCTTGCGACTAAGTTTACACCAAAAGAAGCTATCTCAGCCTTAATCTTTCTGTGACCTGATAGAGGATAGATTTTGAACCACACTATGTGATGGGTTTGCACGGATACCAAATCATATTTTCCTATCTAAGCAGCTGCTACTATTTTTATCATTCATACAGTACCAGCCTTCATGCATACTAAGTGCTGGCCCCATTCCAGCTGTATTCCTAAGCAATCCCGTAACACTCCCAGCTTTATTTGAATGCGGCATTTCCCAGGCCTCGCTCTGCAGTCTCCTGCTCTCATGCGGTGGGGAAGGGCTGCTGCCCTTCGCTTCGGGGCTGGCTGCTTTTTGGCAGGAGGCAAAGCAAGCGTGCGACCTCCTTCGCTCTCCTGGTGATGGTGATGTGAGCTTTAATTAGCTAATCTTTAGAATTGCAGTTGCAGATTTGGGTCGATGGTGTTATTAATGGGGAAGACATTACTTTTTGCTAAAGGACAAATCTAGAAGGTAGGCTGGAGCTTGCTGATTACTTTTCCAGGAACTGCATCGCTAACCTTACAAGAAATCTACTGAAACACGTGAACTTTTCCAAAGCTGTGTGATGGGAATCTCAGTATCTGCTGTATCAATCAGTATCAATCCAGTTTCACCCAAGTTGCTCGTTAAGCGTACAACACAGGTATGCCTACCACAAGGGCATTATTTTTCACTGGTGTAATATAAGAATAATTTTAAGCATATCTGGAAACTATTTGTCCCATGGAGCCCTCTGACACTTTCTCCTTTAAAAGCTGTGATAGCTCAGCTGATGCCACCATTAATTTTGTTACAAATCCCCAATGGGAGGACAGTGATGATAAGGACTGGGAAGCATGGCAGTCCTCCGAGAAAGGTTTACCTGTCTCATAAATTCCTGGGCGTGCTGGAGGGAGGGAAGGAAGGAGAGAAGAAACCGATGAGTGCACCTAGGGTGAAGTGGGTTGTCTGGGATAGTGCTGGGATGAGCCGGACAGTGCCAGACTTCTGCCTTTGGGGGCTGATTTAGTTAAGTGAGGCCTTAGCATCCTTATGAAACCTGTTCTCAGGGCTGTGCGTTCTGCTTATCCACGCAGGAGGGCTGGGCAAGTAGCGTATGTGTTGTGCTCCCCAGGTCCTGGGTCCTTAGAGCCACGCATTCATGTTCTGCTTGACTCAGCTGATCTCTTGATTATTTTCCCAGATCAGTAATTTAACTTCTATGTGCATGTTTATAGCCTGGGGGGAGATACAAGAAAAATCTTTTAATGAACAGGAAGAAAATCAGCATCTTCATTTATCGTTCTGCATGAACATTAGGAAAAGCAGTCTTTGCTCTGCTTTTTTTTTGGGTCAACCCCGGCACCGTTCAGGTGATGTTTCTACCTTAGAAAGGGCTGTATATTGGTGGTATGGCAGAAAAAGGCTTACTGTGAAGACCATTAGCACTTTTGAGGATGAAAGGTGTTATGGAAACTGGGAACAGTGATGCCTGTATTCTGAGGAGCTGCTGCCAGATGAAAGTGTACTTCTCTTGTGTACTCGGACAAGCATCCTGGAAGGTGCTAATTCCTTCCCAGATCTGTTGCTCTTGTGATCCTGAGTCCTGGCTCACATTTGAGGGATTAATTTGGCTGAACCAATGTAGTGCAGCTGGGAGAGAGCCACAAATCCATCTCCAGTGCTGTTATTCTGTGTTTTCTTCACTCTGACCCTGTAAATTAGTGGTCCTTGCTGAGCTGCAAGTTGCTGGTGGTCTCTGTCAGTGGGCTGCAGCTCTTGCACAGTACGATGTTAAAAATAAACTCAGCAGACAGCACGCTGTGCTTTTGAAGGATCACCGTGGTTGGTTAGATGTGGTATTGGTGCCCGCTGCCCGGACGTGCTTTTTGAGCGCGCTTTTATTGTCCTGCCGCGTGGCCTGGTGGAGCAGAGCAGTGCATCCCTCCCAGTGCTGCAGGGCTGCCGCCGCCTGCCAGCACTAAATGGCGAGTATCTGTGTGTGCTCCTTGGGCTCGAGGAGCAGCACGAGCCCTGCAGGGCTATCGTGCATCGCTCTCCCAGCATCGCTAGTAACGAGGCTCCCTTTGGGAAAGGCGGACAAATACAGTCTGCTTCGTCTCTGACCTCTCTCAGCAGCGGAAGCAAGTGAAGGTGCTGTTTGTAAATAGGTTTATTGTAGTCCACTGGTGCTGGAAATATTGACACCTAGAAACTCTCCCAGAGGCTAAACAAGGACCCAGCTCAAATG